ATCGGCGATGCACCTGGGATGGCGGGACAAGGAAGGCCAGGCTCTGGACCACGCCGCGTCACCGTTGTACTGGCGGTGCGGCGCGCGGCATGGAAACGACGCAAGCCGACCGATCCGAACCGACCGAACGCAACCGACTGCGACGCGGCCGACCGGCGCGAATCGCAAACTCCCCTGGTGATCCTCGTCGTCTGGTCTTCGGGCCGGCGGCCGCCTGGGACGCTTCAGGCCCACCCAGAATGATCCCCCGGGAGGCGCAGCTGCTGGAAGGCATCCCGAGGCCAGGAAGCCGCAGAGAGAACCGACGAGAACGTCCGAACACCTCGAACGGCGAGTCCCGTTCGTCCAAAAAATCCGCAAACACCTCTGCGAGCGGGCGAGCGCGCGAGGACCGCGGCCCGGGAGGGAAAGGGGCGGAGGAGGAGGACAGGAGGAGGAGGAGGAGGAGGAGGAGGAGGAGGAGGGAGGAGGAGGAAGGGAAAAGGAGGAGCAGCAGGAAAACGGAAAAAAAGAGGGAGGGGAGGGAGGGACACGGTCGACCAGGAGGGAATACCGGTATCCAATCTCGTATCCCTCCTCCCTCCTCTCGCGTTCTCCTCCTCCTTGTCCTCATCTTTGTTGTCCTCCTCCTCATCTCCCACCCCCCTCCTCATTGTCATCCCCCTCTTTCGGTTTTCAGGATTCCTGGTCGCCTGGGCTGCAGATACCACTTTGGGGATTGAACGAACCTCCTCTTTCCTCTCTCCTCCTCCTCCTCCTCCTCCTCCTCCTCCTCCTCCTCCTCCTCCCCCTCCTCCTCCTCCTCCTCCTCATCCTCCTCCTCCTCCTCCTCCTCCTCCTCCTCCTCCTCCTCCTCCTCCTCCTGCTCGCCCCTCGCCATCCTCTTCCTCCCATCGCCCTCCTCCTCCTCCTCCTCCTCCCTGGACCTGGTGGGTTCAGTGGAATCGCAGAGGCCACAGGAGTTCACAGGAGGCCCCGGAAGGCTTCAAAAGCCCCAGGAATCCCCTGGAGATCCCAGGAGGCTACAGGAGGTGCCAAATAAAAGTTTCAGGATGCCTCAAGATTTCGGGAAATGCTGGAGGTCTGGGAATCCATGCCCCAGGGAGTTTCAAAACATTCAAGTGTCACAAGTTCTCGGGCGTTTGAAACTGGTCGAAATCCCTGGCTGACAGAATTGCAGAAGGACCCTGGAGATCTGGGACCCCAGGGCCCAGGGATTTTCGAAAGTTGATAACATTACAAATTTCGAAAATATTGCGGTGCTTTCAACAAACTTCACAATGTGTGAAAGGTTGTGAAACTTTGAAAAACCCTGACTTCGGGAATGTCGGGGGATCCTGGATATCTGGGAGTCCAGGGCTCAGGAGTTTGCAAATATCAACCTGCTTCAAGGTTTTACAACATCTTGCAGCTTCAAACTCTAAAACTTCGACACATGTCTTACTACAAATTTACAAACTGCTGAAATCCATAGTGTCCAAAAATTCGGGGGAATCCTGAAGATATCGGAATGGAATCCTAGGCTCGTGGAGTTTCACAAGTTGAAACAACTCAACACATGTTGAAAAATCCTGTCGTCTTGAACGTCCGAAGCCTTCTGAACTTTAAAAAAAAAATCCTGGAGATCAGGGGATCCAAGGCCCAGGGATTCTCCAAAATTTGAATGGTAGTCTCCTGGCGTTAGAAGTAGTGACCACGTTCAAATTTTCAGAGCTTCTGAAACTTTGGAATTCCAAGTTTTCCCAGATTTCGAAGGATCCTGGAGATCTCAGAATCCCGAGCCCAGGGAAGCCGACCCCCTCCCTCACCCCCTCCTCCTCCTCCCCCTCGCCGGGGAAGGGGCACGAGGGATGTGAAGCAGGAGGAGGAAAAAAGAGCATGCCCTCAGAGCACCCGCAACATAATTAAATTCGTCGCAGGCGCACTGGGTGCCGCATGGGGAACCTATCGGGGCCATCCGGAGCCCCCCCGCCCCGAGGATTCCCTCAGAGCGGTAAGATGGCCCGTCGAGAGCTCCAGGAAGCCCCCAATAAGACACCACGAATGTAACCCCCAGGGCATCCGCAAGAAATTCAATCATGTTGCGGGTGCTCTGGAGGCGGTCTTGGGCTCGTCTTGTCTTGGAGCGTTAGGAGGCTCCAGGAGGGCCTTCCTGGGGAACGTCTATGAAGCAGCATCGTAACCGCAGCAGCAGCATTGAACATAGTGCGAGTGATCGGGATACCTGTTTGAAATCATTTGGAACGTACGGTTCGGCACCTCGTTGGCCCGCCCCCAGAGCCCTGAGAGGGCTCCGCGAGGGCTTCAAGATAGTACCAAGGGGACCTCACGAATGCTCCCGTCGCTGTCGCTCGATCCCTACCTCTTCACAACAATCAATCGCGTGTATTAAAGTAGGTGTGGATGTAGATCTGTATATATATACACACACATACATACACACGGTTGTGCTCCCAGGTGTTCCTACAAAAATATGTGTATACATACAGCTATGTATAGACATGTTTGTGGATGTGTGTAGGCATGATATACAGATATTGGTGTGTAAACTGACCCAGACGTTCGTATAACATGCTGTATCACGGCCCGTGCACATCTGTGCGTAGATGTAAGGTGTCATGAAACCTCGCATGGAAATACGGACACCCATACACCTACGCATCGATCGATGAATGTACACGTCACCTGTAGATGTGCATGTAAAGATACAACCGTGCAACCATTCATATGTCTATACATAAACATATAGTGAAAACGTGAGCGTGTACATACTTATATATATGTGTGTGAACCACCATCTAGTTGCAGAAATGCACAAATGTATACATGGCATCATGTATCCAGAATGGTCGTAATCAGATGCTTCATGCGTATATACGTAGAAACAAACATGTATGCATACATACGTGCATGAATGCGCATGAATGCATGCATATCTACCTACATACATACATACATACATGCATGCATGCATGCATGCATGCATGCATACATACATACATACATACATACATGCATGCATGCATGCATGCATGCATGCATGCATGGATTGTACAAATATGTATGTGTGTATGCATGTGCATGTATATGCATATGCGCATGTAATGTACATATACACATGCGTATCAAAAATCCCAGGGCCGAGGCTCCACCGATCTGCCCCCCTTGTACGTGCCCGGCATCCCCCTAAGGGCTGGGCCTAGCCTTCATGGAGAGCTCAAAGATGGCCCGAGCGGACGCCGACATGTTGCCAAGACGGTCCAAGAGAGCCCCATGAGGCTCCCTTGTACTTGTCCAGGTTCCTCCCCAGGGCAGGCCCTGGCCTCCATGGGGATCTCCAAGATGGTCCGAACGGACGCTGATATGCTGCCAAGACGGCCCCAGAGAGCCACAGAGGCTCCTAGATGGCCCCTGACGACCCCAACAGAACACATGGAGCGAAAGAGCGGCTTCACGAGGGCCTACGAGAGGCTTTCCAGAGGCAAAATCACGGATTTCTTAAGGACTTCTGTAGAGTTCCAGTACGCTCACCACAACACTACAGCGGTCCAACAGAGACCTCACAGCCTTGCGCCCCAAAGTTGGCCGGCGGATAAGAGTTAGATATCTCTCCCTCAGTCGTTTCCCGCTCCTATTTCTATTCCTCCTCCTCCCCTCCTCGTCCCGCTGCTGCTCCTCATCCTCGACCTCATCCGCCTTCCCCGCTGTCCCGCCTTTCGATAGTCCATTCCGTCGTTCCACCAAGACTTCGTCCAACGGTCTTACATGGGGCCTGCTCCCGTCCGGCACCCTTGCTCTTTGTACAATAGAAGACGGGACAACCGTTGCAAGTGCAGCCACGCTCGCGACGGCGAAGCAAAAGGTGCCAACGCAATGTGCAAGGCCAGACGAGTCAAATGTCAGATGTGGCGCGCGCGGGTCTCCAGAGTTCCTCCCTCTCTCGCCTGAGAGCTTCGCATCCAGAGCCCCGTGGCGTCCCAGCTCGCCACTCCACCGCTTGAACTTCAGTTCCCAGGTAAATGGGATAGCCCAAGCCGCCCCAATCTCGTGCAGTCACCCGTGCCGATTCGGATGAGGAGGAGGACGACGACGACGACGAGGAAGAGGAGAAGGAGGACGAGAGGGAAGAGGAGGGGGATGAGGAGGGTTTGGACGGAGGACGAAGGAGAATCAGGACCAGGAGGATCAGTAGCAGGAAGCGACAGATGATGAGAAGGAGCAGGAGTAGGAGTAGGGATGATGAAGGGGAAGAGAGTAAGAGAGAGAGAGAAATAACAAAAAAATGAGAGACAGACAACGAGGAAAGGAGAAAGAACAAAAGAACGAGGAGGTAGATGGGGACCCGGACAAGCCGTTGCGGTTGGCCTCCGATTGTTCCCCTTTGTTTTCCTGCTCGCCCCCTGCTGTTCAGACTGGTGGTGTCACTGCAGTTGCTACTGGCGTCCTTCGTCCTTCCCCTGCGCCACCCAAGCGTCATTTGTAAGTGTACGCTGCGTACACCTGCGAATGGTTTGAAGAACTCATTGCGTACAGTACGCAATGATGTTTTGATGTGCGACATTGCTCATGTATTTCCGCAAGGTGATGCGTATGGAATGTGACCATGTCCGTCCATTGTTGTGGCGCTCGCCCATCGCGCACTAGAACCTACGCGCGCGAAGCGCGCGCGTGGCCCCTAGCCCCAGGAGGCCCAAGGAGGCCCCAGGAGGCATCAGGGGCCACAGGAGGCCCGACGAGGTCATAGGGGGGAAGCAGGAGGGAGGACGGAGGAGGGAGGACGGAGGAGGGAGGACCGAGGAGGACGGAGGAGGAAGGAGGAAGAGGAGGAGGAGGAGGAGGAGAACGGAGAAGGGACGAGGGATGAGGGCAGATATTTTGGAAGGGAAGTGGGGGGGAGGAAGAGGAGGAGAGGGAGGAGGAAGAGGAGGAGGAGGAAGAGAAAGAGACGGGCAAGGAGGAAGGAGCGACGGAGAAGGGATGAGCGCGGCGGGCGGCGCCGCCCCTGCGCGGAGTAGCCCAGCCGGGCAACCTCGCCGCTGGCACACCCATCGTCGTCGTCGCCGGTTCCTGCTGTCGCCGCCGCCGCCATGATCGTCGAACATCGATGCTCGAAGATCGAAGCCTCCGACATCGCGTACGTTGAATGGCGATTCGACGCTTCTCAGACACTGGAGGCCAGTTTCAAGCTCCAGGCCCATCAGAGAACCTCTCGGGATGAACGGCAAGCCCTGGGTGACTGGGGACGCTGTGTTCCTTGGCCCCTATCTGGGGGGAGCCCTCAAGATCGGCAGTCTCTCGAGGAGGGGGGGCGAGGCCACTGGGGGAGGCGCTCATCGAGGGAGGCGATTTGCGATTGCGATTGCGCTGAATGCGGTGACCAAGAGCAAGCCTGGGCGCATGGGAAACTTACCCTCTCACGGGGAAGGCCATACCTGACTGCGGAAGGAGCCCTCGGGACAAACGGGAGAGCGCCTCCCGCCCTTTTCGCAGTGGGGGCTCCACACAGGCCAGAAAGCTTTCGCGTTTGATCAACTCCAAACGCGCCACAAATGAGGCAGTACAACACACCCTGACAAGTGGCGAGGGTGTGGGAGACATGGACAGACTCAAAGAGAGGGTGGTCGGAGGGAGGGCGCCGCGCCAGGATGTCCGCCACCACCATGGGGGGCGCCTCCGCGCGGGGGTCCTGCTCACCATGAGGGACCCACTCCCCCGCGACCTGCCCAAACTCGGACAATGGGATGCAGGTGCGAGGCCAGAACTGCGACAGGGCTCCTCTGCGGGCGAAGGAGCGGCTACACCTCGCACACTTGAACAACGTGCGCCTAAGAGAGACATCGTGGCCAGCAGCGATCAACCTCGACCGCCGCGCCTCCAAACTAGCGACGCCAGCACGCTTCCGAGCCGCGGCGAGGCCAACACGGCTGTCAGCGCCACGCTCACGCTCGCAGGTCAGGAAAACTTCACGCTGAATCGCCACTAGACGGCGCAGGATCTTCTCCTACAGCTCATCAGCATCTCGGACAGAGGCGACCTCGTCTGGGCCTAACTTGCCCCTCAAGGCCCCTTCGTTGGCACAAAGGCCGGAAGCACTATTCAAAAGCAACTCGACACGAGAAATCAGCATGTCCTCAACTTGTGCCTGGGTCGGGTGGGATTTAGTCCAGCGGAGATCAACCTTGCCCGAACGCGTCCCAAGACGTTCCCAAATACGAGCCCAGATATCAAGCATACTACTCTTACTCCTCTTCACATGCTCTGGAGACTTCCGAAAACTCCGAACAACAGGGAGGTAGTCCGAGAACACCAGAATGTTCCCTTCAGTAATCGTCAGCAGGACGAGCAACGCATAGAGCTCTGACCGAGGAGAGCTCTGACAGGTAGTAGGTAAAGCTCCAAAAACTCCACCCGCAAAATCAGATTCATCAGGATGTGGCATAACAGCGCTTCACCCACACCCCCTTAGCCTCCAGTCCTTAGTTTCAGAACCCCCGATCCGTCGACCCCCCACACCCCACCGACCACAGGGCGGGCTCCTTGGAGGGCCCCAAAGGCCCACTGAGCAGTTTGGGGCATCGGGAGACCTTTCACAACCTGATCAAGCGACATCAGACCGCGGCACCAGAGAGAGGGGAGGGAGGTACTTTCCGCGATAGCAATCGGGGACAAGCTATCTGTGGCCGAGACATCAGGATTACCCAGCTCACAGTTCGCCGCACACTGCCAGAATCGGTGCGTCGGCGTCTCGGGCTCCAGCCCGCACCTGGGACACAAAGGGCTAGCTGCGTAGCCAGCCTCGAACAAACGGGATTCAGTCCAATATACCCCCACCAAGGTGTTCCGCAGGATAGCTTGGGATTCGCAATCCAGGTTCCGACCAAAGTGTTTCAACATGGCCCGGGGGCGGAAAAATCAACACCCTCTTGAACCCCCGGCCCCAAATAGTGCTCCGCAGCTTTGCCCCAAACCACATCAGCACAGGTAGCCTGGAGAGCCCGCCACAGGTAGAACCGGAAGGAGGGGGTCTCAACGTAGAGGGAGGCACCGTACTCATCCTGCCATTCACACGGAGGGGTGGGAACCCACTCAAAATCAAAAAGGGCGGCGACGGTAGCCATCACAGGTCCTTTGACCCGCCTCCAACGGCAATTCGCAGGAATGCTCAGAAACAAATCCACCGCCGCCACCCAAACATTTTGGACCCGCATGCGGTCCTTAGGTGGCAAATCACACCACAGATCCGCAAAGCTCAGCAGGTGCTCATGCCTCAATCGGAAGATGGGGTCCTCCGCACTGCTACAGACCAACGACAAGACCGTGGTGGAACAGGACCCAGGGGTCCACCAACCCCCCGAACACTGGGCCGCTTGGCCCCTCACAGTTTGCAACTGGTGAGGGGGCACCCCCACCAGTTGATGGCCCCAGGTCCCAACCGCCAAAACACCAGGTTTGCACAGCTTGGAGGCCCTCTTATAGATGCGGGAAAGGAAAAGACACCTTACACGCACGACGCCGCGCTTCAAGCCTCCGCCGCTCCACTTGAGGAATCCTCCGCCGTCTTCCAGCCGTGGCACATGACCCCAAATCCCTCGTTTCAGCACGATACCGAATTGGAAGTCTCAAGGCCTGAAGACTATCAGCAAGGTGAGCGCCTACTGCAGGGGAAGAGCAGACGAGGGCGCTCTTGCTACTGAGCGCCAGGCCCAGCTTGTCGACCTCATGCGCGAACAACGTCGCAGCAGGCAAGACGCGGGCAGGGAGCTCCTGCTCCGTGCCAGCCATATTCTGGGCAATATCCTCAACATAGGCCCGCGAGACCACTCGAGACATTTCACCATTCACTTGATAACGCACGGCCTCCAGGGCCTCGTAAACGTAGATTTTGACCCACGGCACGCTCTGGGAACAACCAGGTAAAACCCCCCTCCCCGCGGACACCATACGGGAGACGTTACTTTCAACCTCCAACATACGGGGGGCCGTATGGATGAGCATCCCAAGATACAACAAATGGGGTGGGCATTCCGTGCGCAGGGCCAATCGGATGAGCAACCGAGGGCTCACCGCATCAAACAACTTCGTAAGATCCCAATGGATCGCAACAGAGATAGCCCCTTCATGTCTGGCACACTCGCGGTACAACTCCCGAACAAGCGCCGCTCGGAGAGCCGACGACCCTTTGACCGCCGTGTCCCAGAACGCCGTGCGGTCGGCAGTCCACGCATCGACATCCCCCCCCCCCGAATTTTGGTGTAGAGACGGCACAGGGTGGGGCACTTAAAGACGGGACGCTCATCAATCTGAGACTTCGGCAACAACGCAATCAAGCCGAGCAAGATTTGAGCTGGCCAAGCCATACTCCGCTCGCACAGGGAGTAGAGAGAGGCCAGGGCCTGGAGGGCCTCGGCAGGGAGCTCAGCCACCGCACGAGGTCCCCACCCATCAACGCCGACTGCCGTTGTCGCCGAGAAAAAATTGCACGCTTGAATGCATGGGGCGGCAATGGGGGGGAAGGTCACCAACATGCTCAATAGCCACCGAACGGAGGTCAGACATGGCATCACCCAGCCTCAATATCTCGTCCTCCGACACGGACCAAAATCCGCCCCACAAACGGACCCGATATTCCATCATTTCTTCAGGCAACTGCTTGACACCGTCAGGGGGGGTAGAATATTCAAGCACACTCCGATTGTCACGCTTCAACCAAGAGCGCACCCCCTTGGCACCATGTGGGATGGCGCGCAGCAGCCAGGCCTTAAGGCCTTTCGAGGACTCCGCCTTAGCTGCCGTCCAAGCACGCTTCAAAACCTCGGAGGCGACGTCAACAAGGCGATCCACAATATCAGGACCCCCCAGCGCAGCAACGGTGACCTGATCGGTCCACCAGGGGGGAGGTTGAGCTGGCGGCAGCACCTCGGAAAACTCCCCGACGCGGCTAACCATGTCCATGATCAGCCCGTAAACGCGGCTCTCGGTGGATTGCCGTCGCAACAACGCGCGAAGCTCAAATAGCTCGGCAGAGAACCGAGACCAAAACGCCAACGTCGGACAACGAAAAGATGCGCCCATGCCACCTTTATGCGTGGTCGTCGACGTAACCAATGTCAACGCACCCCCTCCCCCCATATACGCATGCCCCTCCTCCTCATCGATGGCGGCACAGGCACGCGAAAGAAACAAACGCTCGGTAGCACGCGATCAGAGGGAATACTGTACAGATATCTGATCATCGAGATGCTCGACTGCATGCGGGATGAGATGGGCCAACTGCACAGGGCACATACACAGCGGCACATGATCAGAGCAAATCTCATGATGAAGGTGACGCCGCCACGGTAAGTCAGGTCCGTGACAAACGGGAATAACTCGAGGGCGCACTCGCCGACAGAGACGCTGAACCAAAACTCGGTGAGCCAACTGAATACGAAGTGCACGATGTGTTTTGGAAGGGGACGGTTCGAACACTCCAACCTGGACGAACGGGGCCAAATCCTCCGAGACCAACGCATAATCGATCATCGCCCCTGACCCTTGTGAGCACGCAAAGTCAACTCCCATCGGGGCCAACACCCGAGCGTGAACAGACTGCGGATATCCCGAGAGCCACATAGTTTCAACCTCAATATTGAAGTCCCCGACCAACATCCAGGGAATCCCGAGAGCACGAACGAACTCGGCGATACCCCGCATTTTGGACAGGTTCTCCCCCGCGACACCCAGGCACGAGACAAAGTAACACACTCCGACCGCAATGGTCGCCTCCTGAGTCTTGAGTTCGAGAAACATCCAGCCTGGGCCCGACCCAATGTCGGAAACAACGCCCGCATGGGCAAGAGAACGTTGAAAATACATGCTCTTACTGACGACCATCCCGACCCCGCCGTGAGCCCCCCCTCCGTTAGTAGGCACACCTGCCTGCAGATGGGGCCTCCAGCCCATGGCTGCAATCTCTCGCTTCGCGGCAGGCAAGGCAGGCCGCTGCAAACGGTGCTCACAGAAGAGGAAGGCATCCACCTCAGGACATAT